GAAGGCATGCGCGTTTATATACGCTAATGATGTAAATGGGTTAATACACAAAGATTCCGCAAATTTTATAATCAAATGTTATATATCCACTTCTCTCTTGTACTTATTGAAACATTTATTTTATTGTACATGTTTTGAAGATCTCTATAAAATACTTAGCAGATTTTATTCTTGATAGTTTTTATTATTTAAAAATACAAAGTAAGTTTACGATGCAGTAAGCAATGAGTGTGAGTTGAGGTTATACAATGTAAAGGTAAAAAAAAGAAGTCGAGTCATCTCAGTAGTAAAACATTATTGTATAGAACTATTTTACAAAAAATTATTTTAATAAAAAATTGCTGTATTAAAAAAAATTGTGTAAAATAGTTGTCATAACTATCTACAAAAATTAATGATATATTTAAATAAAAAATTACGTCGAGAGTAAAATAGTGCGATTTCATTTTATGTTTATCAACAATGTGTGTGTGTGTGTATCTGTCTGTCTGTCTGTCTGTGTGTGTGTGTGTGTGTGTGTGTGTGTGTGTGTGTGTGTGTGTGTGTGTGTGTGTGTGTGTGTGTTAGATGTGATTGACTGCTGATAAATAATTAGATGAAGAAAAATTATGTTTATATTTTCGTCGGAAGTTATTACATCTTTGTCGTAAAAGTCAGAATCCCGATTTCTTCAAGGATGAACAGTTGATTCATGTAGTTCGTAATTTAAAAAATTTTAATTATTAAAAAACTCGACGCTGCTGAATAATATACAAATAAATTTGGCAGCGTGGAGTTTTCTAAAATTTTTTAAATTACGAACTACATGAATCAACTGTTCATCGTTGAAGAAATCGGGATTCTGACTTTTACGACAAAGATGTAATAACTTTCGACGAAAATATAAACATAATTTTTCTTCATCTAATTATTTATCAGCAGTCAATCACATCTAACACACACACACACACACACACACACACACACACACACACACACACACACACACACACACACACACACACACACACACACACACACCACACACACACACACACACACACGCACACACACACACACCACACGCACACGCACACGCACACACACACACACACACGCACACGCACACGCATACACACACACACACACTGTTGATAAACATAAAATAAAATCGCACTCTTTTATTCTCGACGTAATTTTCTATTTAAATATATCATTAAATTTTGTAGATAGTTATGACAACTATTTTACACAATTTTTTTTAATACAGCAATTTTTTATTAAAATAATTTTTTGTAAAATAGTTCTATACAATAATGTTTTACTACTGAGATGACTCGAATTCTTTTTTTTACCTTTTTTTGAAAAGGTAATTTTTTTAGGATATCACTAATTTTTGTAGACAATTAAGAAATTACTATTTTGCACATTAACTTTGTTTAATGTAACATTTTTGTAGTTTAAATAATACTATGTCTTGTGCATAAAACAGTTTTTTACAATAACATAAAATTTTTTACAATTTAATACTTACACATGATTAACTTTTTTATACTTTTTAAAAAAGTAATTTCTGAGAATATGTTAAATATCCAAATAAATAAGCAAAGAATCTGCCACCAGCCCCGTCATTTCATTAAAATATGACGATCTTCTCTACTTAATATACTTTTTGCAAACTTCGTAAAGTTAAAATATTAACAAAGCTACATTCTTCAATTATTATAATTCCAGGTGAAGTTCATTTTAATAAAATTTTAATTTTAAGTTTAGTTACAAACCTTCGACATTTTCAATGAAGAAAAATCGTCTCTAAATAACTTCAGAAATCTGTTATTAATGTTACTAGATAGTGTAATAGTGCAGGAGACTGCATATAGGATGAGTTTTTCGTGTATCAATTTTTTTATGTGAGGGATTACTATCCAGGTAGCAAGCACACGTCATTTTGACGTTCCAAACTAGTCATTTTTGGTAATATGTTGTCAAAATGACTGATTATTGTTACATGACTTTATATTGACGTCTTGCTGTATTATTTTGACGTCATTTTTCAGTCATGAAGTGACTATTATTTTATTATGAATGTCATTAGTTAGGACATCGATCCCATAAAAGAAATCTTTTAAAATTTTTTATATGACATGACTTATTTCGCGATCAGACTTTAAATATATATATATATATATATATATATATATATATATTTATATATATTTATATTTATATATTTATTTATTTATATTTATATTTATTACATATTATATTTTTATATTTATTATATTATATTTATGAAATAGAGAGATGAATTGAAAAGTTTAATATTACTGGCAATAACGAAAGGAATATTACTGAGATATTACTGAAATAGTCAAAATTATTAACTGATTCTTTCTATAAAATATTACTGATTTACAGCGCTGTTACTTATATAATAATTACTGTAATCAGTGATTATTTACTGTTTTTCAGTCATAATACACTGATTCACTTTTAGAGAGTCCTTTATTCGACAACATTATTAAATATATTATTATGCTAAGAGAAAGACGTCAAAATGCGGTACATGTCATGATGTCAGGAATCTGTGACATTAGATCGTCACTTTTACGTCTTAAAAACGTCAATTCGTGACGTCAAGAATAATCAGTGAATGATTTGAAACATCAAAATGACGTGTGCTTGCTACCTGGGTGATTGCAATTGCAATAAATTAATCGATACATAGGTAGCAATTATTTGGATAAGTATTACATTCGATATGCATGGTCGATTCAAATAATTGACATTTATAGATACTTTCCGATTCACACATGATGCGCATAAAGTGACAGAAAATGTATAATAATATGCGTAACATAAACTATACATTTTCTGTCACTTCATGCGCATCATGCGTGAATCGGAAAGTATATTATGTACCGATCAATTCATTCCAATTACAGTCGGTAATTTCTCGCATGATAAAAAAATTATACATCTCTCGTCGTCACGAGAACACAGCGCCTCTTTCGTCAAACGTGCGACCCGTACAAGAAAAATATGTAAAGAATGTAGCTAGCCACGACGGTGACGTTTCTTAATCAAAAAGTTTCACATTGAGACTTTGCATCGTTATAATTCTGCTTATAGAGCATATAGAGCAAAAATAAAGACACTTTCCTTATACAGGGTGTCCGTCGATTTTCGACCAAAATGAAATAAATAAGTAGATTGGCTCGAATTAAGAAGGAATGACCTGTATTGTGTTGGGATTGTCGCAATAATTAACGAAATATTAAATAAAAAAGATCGGCCAATCTGCGAGTAAAAGCGCGCGGCGACGAGAGTCGTCCCACCGTAATCCGATACTACGAGCGCGGCGAAGCGGTGGGCGGGTCGCTCTCCGAGACATGATAGTGGTTTGCGATATATCGCAATACCGCGCCGAAAAATGACCCGTCCCCCCTTTTCGTGGCGAGAAAATGATGCGCTATCATTTCCACACCACCTTGCGGTAGATAGCATGGTGCGCTTTTTTTATAGTGGTTTCCCCCATAGGCCTATTCCACTCTCAATTTAAAAATTATTCAAAATGCCATTTACTATACGCTGAATATATCGTAAATGTAAAAAATTAATGGATAGTACCTTTACAAAAATTGATTCGTGGTCGAAAATCCCTCGATAAAATGTATTGCACACGTTGATAATGTGATACGATGATAAAATTCTTCAAGAATCCTTTCTTCATCTCGTACACGAAGACGCACTGCTGGACCGGTTATCCCGATATTATGCACGACACTCAGTTTCACATAATTATTGCACAACACGTAAAATTGTACGGCCACTTGGTTTTCGTGCACGCCCGAGAAATGATTCCATGTAAATTGCGGCCGCACGATAAGTATTTTCTACCGCTAGTCCGTATGTCACAATCATATCCGTATATTCCTGCAGAGTACACTTCATTTTCTCTGTTAATTTACTACGCAAACACAAGATTTTTATTAAAACGTCTTAGCTCTCGCACGCTGTTACCAGATTGCGTACGCCAGCAGTACGCAACTACAGCTGACAGCTGAGCGGACATGCGAGTGTAAGCGTACGTGTGAGTTCGACGCCTGCGCACTATGATTACACTCACAGTCCGCTCAGCTGTCAGCTGTAGTGCGTGCTGCTGGCGTACGCAGTCTGGTAACAGCGTGCGAGAGCTAAGACGTTTTAATAAAAATCTTGTGTTTGCATAGTAAATTAACAGAGAAAATGAAGTGTACTCTGCAGGAATATACGGATATGATTGTGGCATACGGACTAGCGGGAGAAAATACTTATCGTGCGGCCGCAATTTACATGGAATCATTTCTCGGGCGTGCACCAAAACCAAGTGGCCGTACAATTTTACGTGTTGTGCAATAATTATGTGAAACTGAGTGTCGTGCATAATATCGGGATAACCGGTCCAGCAGTGCGTCTTCGTGTACGAGATGAAGAAAGGATTCTTGAAGAATTTTATCATCGTATCACATTATCAACGTGTGCAATACATTTTATCGAGGGATTTTCGACCACGAATCAATTTTTGTAAAGGTACTGTCCATTAATTTTTTACATTTACGATATATTCAGCGTATAGTAAATGGCATTTTGAATAATTTTTAAATTAAGAGTGGAATAGGCCTATGGGGGAAACCACTATAAAAAAAGCGCACCATGCTATCTACCGCAAGGTGGTGTGGAAATGATAGCGCATCATTTTCTCGCCACGAAAAGGGGGGACGGGTCATTTTTCGGCGCGGTATTGCGATATATCGCAAACCACCATCATGTCTCGGAGAGCGACCCGCCCACCGCTTCGCCGCGCTCGTAGTATCGGATTACGGTGGGACGACTCTCGTCGCCGCGCGCTTTTACTCACGCAGATTGGCCGATCTTTTTTATTTAATATTTCGTTAATTATTGCGACAATCCCAACACAATACAGGTCATTCCTTCTTAATTCGAGCCAATCTACTTATTTATTTCATTTTGGTCGAAAATCGACGGACACCCTGTATAAATCGAACCCAAGCAATTGATTGAACCTAATAAGAATTTGATCGATTCAGCGATTATTGAGAACCGATAATATGCATTACTCGCAACTTAGCCATTCGCGTAAAGCGAATACGGTGTGTCTTGCGCCTGAGTGATGATGACTCGACTTCAAGACACTACCGTGTCTCTTGATAGTTAGGTAACAGAATACTAAAAAAGTTATCAATCTACAGCACTGAAATATATACATACTGGAAGAGGCACTGAGCTGCAGAAAGCGTGCCGAGAGAGAGGGAAGATTTAGGGGCTACCTGTCTTTGTTGTACAGTCAGGTCCAAGAGTGTTTGTATCATAAGGAAGGTTAGGAAGGACGTCACTGTAACGGTTCGAGAACCGAGAACTATATAGAGATATATTAACTTATTGAAACACAAAATCTATTTCAAACATCAAGAATTTGACATTAATGTCTTTTTTCGAATTGATTAAAATAAAATGTTTCAGAACATGCCACATTGCCACCGTTACCTCAATAAGCCAAGCAAAAAACTAAACTTTCGATTTCGCCTGTACATCATGTGACTTGTTTCGTTCTGCGCAGACGCAGCGCCGGAAAAAACGAGATAGCAATCCCCAAACATCTATCTATCGCAGGCACGCTTTCCGTCTACGGCAAACAAAGCCAGTGCCTCTTCCAGTATAGATATATTTCAGTGATCTACAGCGCCAACACGCGGTAATCCTGTGTATGAAAAGTCTGAGAAGTGTCAAATTTTAACAATTATTAGTATGGTAATGATATTGTTTGATTGTACGAATATCGCCAAATTTAATAAATTTATGTAAAGTATACTCACATTTTTTGACGCCGACGGGCTTTCGGCAAAGTAGATAAATCTTCTTTCATGCAATATTGCCGTATGCCAAGGACTAAATGCTTAAAGTATTCCATTTCATCGAAATTATAAATCATAGTTGGAAATATTTTTTTATCTAATGGTGTTAGATCGTCGCATAAAGTAATTATATTTTTATTATAAAATATCCATTGTCGTTCGATGAAATATTGTAATATTGCGAGATTGTCTAAAATTCGTTTCTGGATTCTGACTATACTGTTTGTAAGAATAACAAGAAAAGATAATAGTTAAGGAAATTTATACATTTACATAATACATATTATGTAATTACATGTAAAAAAGCAAAAAAATGTCAACAGATAAAAATAAATAAAAAATATATAATATCAACAGATAAAATGAGAATTTGAATAAAAAATACATAATGTCTAAAAATATTAAAACATGAGAAACTTACAATCTTCTTTGTCGAAATATTAGCATCAGAAAGTCGATGAAGTATGCAGGTATGATTTGGAAAAATAAGACAATAATATTATGCTCAAATTTATTGCTATGTAAGTCGCCTCCTGGATACCAAACTTGTTTCTCGAAAGGATATTCATGAATAAATTGTTTACCTTTTTTCCATATCTCGCTCCATGTGATACGCATTGTATCGATTTGCGATGTCATATTGACTACGAGTATACTTTTCGAACTAAAAATGATAAATCAAACACAAAAAAATTAATATTTCTTTCTTTATTTATAAATGAAAGACAATTGTGCAAATATAAAATAGTTAAAGAATGCAATTCAATTAAAGAATATATGAAAAGCTTCCGAACATTTCTCTCTATTGCATAATATTACATAATTTAAAAATTGTAATAAATTTATTTTTAATAAATCACAACAATAAATTTAAGAAAAGTTTAAAATTTAAAAAAAGATGAGATACATTAACAATTTACGATACTTTAATTTAGGATACTTTATAACAATTTAAAACATTATATAATTTTGATATCAAAAATGTTTTAAGGAGCACTAGTGACAAAAAGATTTGTTTATATTACGAGCATAATATTAGATGATTAAATGTCACTTTAATTTAAATTGTAATATATTTTACTATTGCAGAAGAAAAGTTTGAACAAAATGAAAACTTACTTTCTCAGGCTAGTGGCTATTTTGTATGCAATTATTATTAAATCGTTAATTGCAAGATCAACTGGTATAATTTCGATATTAAGATTGCCGTTGCCATGTATCGATCTGATAACACCCTTACCTCCAGCGACAAGTAATCCTATAGGTCCATTTAAATTGTCGACCCATCCTGGTAACGGTTCCTTGTAAGAAGGGAACACTGCGACGAGATTCATTAATTTTTATATTCTTTTTTGTCTATACACAGTACCCGCTGAGATATTATATTTTATAATCTTTTTATAATTAATATGATATATCAATAATTACCGATCGATGGTCTAGCAATACAACAAGGCAGTTCAGGAAATTCATTGGCTACCAACTTTTCAGCCAGATGTTTCGAATATGTATAAGTATTTGGGTGCGGCTGTATTAATCTAAAAGAATTGCAAAGATAAACACGATAAAATCTTATATATTTTCCTATGCACAATTAAGAGAGAGAAATAACTTAATTTAATTAAATTAATGTATGTAATTCATTTCATTAAACATATAAACATTAGTTATAAGCATTATATTTACATATTACTAATACTGTTTTTTAATATTCCTTCATCAATATATAGTTAATTTATTATATTTTTATATTTATTATATTTATATTTATATTTTTAGTTTATTATATTTTTATATTTATTATATTTATATATAGTTTATTAATTTATATAATTATTACAATAATTTTTAAATATTTAAATATTTTAAATTTTAATAATAATCTTTCTAAATTAATAATCTTTATGTAGAAGACCATTTTAAACTCATTTCTCTTGATGTTGTATCCTTATTTACTAACATTCCTACGGACTTGATTGTTGGCAGTATTGCTAAACGTTGGCATTTGATCAAGAACAAAATTAAGATTCCATTTTTTGAATTTGCCATTGGACTTAAGCTCGTTTTAAATTCTACTTTTTTCAGATTTAATGGGATTATTTACAGATAAATATTCGAAACTCCCATGGGCTCCGTTCTTTCCCCTATCTGTGCTGACTTGGTCTTGCAGGATTTGGAGGATAGAGCCATTTCACAGCTTCCCTTCCATCTTCCGTTCTATTTTAGATATGTGGATGACATTGCTTTGATCGCGCCTTCCTCCTTTCTTGATCTCATTATGACAGTTTTCAATTATTTTCATGAGAGACTCAAATTCACTATGGAAATCGCCAATCATAATCAACTTAATTTTTTAGATGTAACAATTATTATTAACAACAATCACATTGAATTTGATTGGTATATGAAACCCACTTTTTCTGGAAGATTTTTAAATTTCTTTTCGCAACATCCTATTGCACACAAAAAGAGCGTAATTATTGGGCTCACTGACAAAATTTTTAAATTGTCGCATCCCCGATGTCATGAGAAGAATTTCAAACTCATTTTTGAGATACTTTCCGATAATGGTTATCCTACAAATTTCATTTTTTCCATAATCACGAACAGAATTAAGTCTCTTATTCATAGCAATATGACGTTCCCTTCCTCTCCCACTTCCCATCCTTCCCCTTCTCCTTCTTATTCGTTCTTTGTGATTCCATACATAAAAGGTATTTCCGAGCATTTTAAAGAAATTGCTGCCAAACTAGATAAATCTCTTGCTTACGTCGTGTTAAACAAGCTGAATCGTTTCATAAAAACGCATAAGGATCCATTACCGATAGATAAACATTCTAATGTTGTATACAAAATTTGTTGCAATAATTGCTTCCTTCTTACGTGGGGCAGACTAGCAGGCAACTTTCGACTCGCGTCCGCGAGCATCGATTGAACATTGATCGACCTACGAAATATCTATCAGTCTTGTCCCATCATAGACTGGAGGGACACGAATTTTCATGGAATAACGTCAAAATTTTGGATTAAGATCCTTCGTTTCTTAGGAGGATTATTTCAGAAATGATTCACATTACACGACAGGACAATGGCTTGAATGTTCAAAATGACACAGAAAAATTCGACAAAAGTTACCTTCCAATTATTAAATCTTTTCGGTCGTAAATCATCTTTTATTTTCTACAATTTCAAATTACTATTCTCATACATTATCCGTTCCTGAATTTCCTTCCCCCCTCCCCTCCCACCGTCATCGTAAGCCGAGGCGCTACAATATCGCGCAGCTCAGTACGTCTCATTGTCTTAGATGAGTTACATGCTTCTTATAATTGATCAGTGTAATTGCTCTCTTTCCTTCATTTTTTCTGTCGTTTATTTAACGGGCTTCTCTACTGCTTGTATGTAATTTTTCTTAATAAGCTGCATTTATTAATTTGCCTCAATTATCGCTTTCTCACATTAATTTTTCTCTTCTCTTTTATTTTTTATTTTTTCTTTTTAATGTGATATGTATTGCATAAACGCGTGTTGCTCTGCTCAATTTTATTTTTCAGGTCCAGGTTTATTTGGCTTTGGATTTATTAATTTGCAAAATTAGGAATCTTTTTGGCTTTATACAAAGTGTGGATAGCGTGCGGTATCTCTGTCCTTTACTCGCATGCCATTGTTTTTCAACGCTTTCTTTCCTACACAGTTGCGATCTCTGTGTATATACCTGAGTAACATGTCGACATGTGGGCATTTCCACATCTATATTTTTCCATCCAAACGTTACAAATTTAATTTTCTCTACCATGTATTTCGATTTTATTATTGTAATTTCCGCTACACTGACGAATATTTTATTTGCGCCGACTTTTTTTATTAATTCGAATTTTGTCTTTGTATTTAGATTCAAATTCTGCGAACGTTATTATTTGCGAGCGACCTTTTACACTTGTATTTATATCCTTTGTAATTTCTATTATGTCAGCATTGAGAAGCATCTGAAACAGATCGAAACGTTTGCGCGTACATTTGTAACTGATAATTTATTTTAATAATTCTAACAATTTGTTTCTTTTTTGCATATTACATCCATAATTTGTGGTTTTCTTTTTGCCTAAATTATATCAATTATATTTCATTTAGATTTTATCTTTAAAACCACTGTATCAATTGATTAATTTTCCTTTATTTAAATTTTAATTTTTAAATACTTAAATATTTTAAATTTTAAATATTAAAAAAATTATAAATAGTTGAAAAAAATTATAAATAGTTGAAAAAAATTATAAATAGTTGAAAAAAATTATAATTATAGAATATATTATTAATAAGACTAAATAAAATATATTTGCGCGAGTCACGCTTATACTGAATGTTGTTAATTATTAAAATCGATTTTAAATATCTGTATGCTGAATGTTGTTAATTATTAAAATCGATTTTAAGATGTCGTTAATTATTAAAACCAATTTTTAATTACTTTGGCGTAATAAGATCGATAGTATCTTCATCTAAGCATTGAACGAGTCTCATGATATCCTCAGGGTTATTAGAGGTGTCATATATACGCTCGCCTACTTCCTTTTGATCAACGTGACAGAAGGCTGTGCTTAGATGTATAAAAGCTTGCAGATGCTTCATTTCTTTTCCCAAGTTTAGTATCCTTTTTGTACCATTCTGGAAAAATAAGTCTTATGTCTTATAAATCATTAAGAATATTATAATATGCAAAATTAAGTCTAAAAAATATACTATGTCTCATTATTTATAAAGGATTCCGCTCAAATCTTATAGAAAAGTGGTTTCAGTGAAATTGTCTGAAAGTTGGATATGCTTTAATTTATGACTTCTTGGACAAATTTTTCATTACAGACATTTAAAAGGAACAATTAAATTCACGCTGGAGATGTGTTCGATATTACATGTGGAAATATGTTGATATATTCGCGCGTATATACATACAGTCTATGTGGGTGTATATGCATATACAGGATGTGGCGTTTCAATTGTATTTCGATTAACATCGCAGAAAATGGTCGGATGAAAAAATAATTCGAAAAGTACTTAACAAAAAAATACTTTAATGTATTTTGGAAAGCTTTCGAGATGTGCTATAATAAATACGAGGAGTTGTGCTATAAAAAATGAGGAATTTAATTTAAAAAAACAAAGTTGAATTCCATCCGATCACTTTCTACAATGTTAATAAAGGTGTACAATTAAAACGGGATGCTCTGTATATACATATACACACATAGAGTTCATGTATACCTGCGTATATATCAACACAATTCCACATGTATTTTCGAATACATCTTTAGCGAATCTAATTGTCCGTTTTGAATGTCTGTAACGAAAAATAATGTTTAAAGATCATGCCCATTAGAATTTTTGATCAGGAGGTCATAAACTAAAACATATCCAACTTTTAGACAATTTTACTAAAACCACTTTTCCATAAGGCTCGTGCGGGGTCCTATCACTAATTTTTATGTTGTTTTAACACGCATACACACATATAAGTCTTTCTATAAATAAATATCTTTATCTACATTTTTATATAAAAATCTATCGCGTGAGCAAACAAAGTTTAAAAATAATTATACTGTAATCAAGAACTTTGCATCCAATGCAAACAACTAATAACACGTTATAGAAAATATAAATTCAATTGTTTAAATCGACTAGATTGATAATTGACTTAAATTGATTAGATTTAAATTTCTTTATGGAAGCTAATATCTCACCATGTTCATTTCGACGGCATCTTTCAATTTTGCATTCATTCGAAGACTCGCGGCGCAATGAAATATTATGTTTACTTCATTTATTAGTTGCTCACGTTCTTCATCAGTAAGGCCCAAGTTGTCCGAACATATGTCACCATTAAATGGTATCACTTTTTTCAAAACTTGAGGCTGCTCAGTTCGTATTCTTTGAAACAACTGCATAAAAATATCAGTTCTATTTGTTAATCTCGTGCATATATTACCATTCATTGTTTAAAAACATTTTAGTTGAATAACCTTAATTAATATTAAATCTATTTATATTTAAAACTTAATAATAAATTTTTGTTTGTATGTTTGATTCACATCATAAGTCAAATAATATAATAATATCATTAATTTTTTGAAATCTTATAATATTTTGAAGTACTATTAAATTAATTTAACAAATTATGTAAAATGTTATAATTTGTATATATAATAAATTATGATAAAAGGTTTAAAACGCGAAGGAGAGAGGGAGAGAGAAAGAGAAAGAGAAACATATCCCTGTTAGAGCACATATGTATTCGCTTCAAAAACAATGCTTCTTTGAAACGTTTCATAACCGACTCTTGAAAACGTTTCTAATTAATTAGAAAATAGTTAAAATATTATGAAATATATAATAGTTAAAATATTATAAATAATTAAATAATTAAAATATTCACTTGAAAAACGTTAAGAGATATGTTTCTTTTTTAATTAAAAAAATGTTTAAAAACGTTTTCCTCTTTTACTTTTTTCTTTTATTTCTTAAACATTTGTTTTCTTATGGAATTAATAAAATAATGCATTTATACACACTCTTTAAAAGTGAATCAGTATATTATCAGTGAAAACATTAAATAGAATCACTGATCACTGCAGTTATAAGTTATTATTTTATGGAAAGTATCAGTATAATATTGACTGTTTATTCAATAATATTAGATTATAATTTATCTACTTCGTAAAAAATTAAAAATTTTATTTATATTTACATGCATATTGAACGTGCATCTTAAACAGATAACGATTTATTTTACTTAAATATATCATGAACGAATCATTTTTGTTTATTAGCTGGACATTTATTTGTCCGACATTTAAAATCGATTTAATATCGGAATTTCCTCTATTGAGATTGCATCAGATATTAAATCGAAGTAATACTTTTAATTTTATGTATTTAATCCTTTGCAAGCTTTATATAATTCTCATGATTAAAACTTAAGTACGAGAAAAATAGCGCACCGTAATGGTAAACGAACTAATTATATAGCGATCACTGATTTTATAGTGAAATTTTCTTCCATTGACTATAAATAGTGAGATATAAGATAAAGTACCAAAAAAATAAGCGTTTTTATTGAAGATCAATGCAATACTGATTCTTATTCGTAAATAGAAATTAGTATAGTTTTCGTAATAATTATATATATATATATATTTACAGGCTGTCCCATGACTGAAGGTCCATACTTTAAGGATGTGTTGCTGATGCCATTTAAAGTAAAAAAAAGTCTAATAAACATGTTCGCAAATGCTTCCTAACAGAAATACAAGTATTGAAAGTTGAATATTTAAAAAAAGAAAGACATTTAGAAAAGAAAAGAAAGACATTTAATTTAATTTGTAATACCAGATTGACAGAAGATATAAACGATACCAGACTGATCGAAAGTGTAAACGATACTAAACTAACTGAAAATGCAAACAAAATCAGATCGACAGAAAACGTAAACAATATCAAGTTGATAAAAATGTAAACAATGACAGACTAATAGAAAATGTTTTACATATTCATATCAACTTTCAATGCTTATATTTCTGTTAGAAAGCATGCGGATATATACAGGGTGACCCATTTTAACTTAGGCGGCCAAATAACTCGAAAACCAAACCCAGGAGAGAAAAATGTTTCAGACAAAAGTTGTTTGGTTTCGAGGGGGCCATAAGATGGTATCATTGGTTTGACCTTGAAGAGTCATTTGAAGGTCACGTGAAGGTCACCTCAATTTTTTTAAATGGCACTCCCTATTTTTTATTACATATTCTTGTAGCTGACCTCGAGAGCTTTCCAAAACACTATAATAAAATATTTTTTTGTTGAGTATTTTTCAAGTTATGAGGCTTGAATAATTTCTTAATTCTACATAAATCATAAAATATCTAGTGAAATATTCATTTTTCGATTATTTTACCTTAATTTATTATATATTTATTTATTATTATATATTTATTATATATACATACATATAGATACATACATATAAATATATATATATATATATATATATATATATATATATATTTATTTATATGTATGTATCTATATGTAGGTAGAGTTGCGTCCCTGCGGATGTATTCGTCACCCGTTATTTTGTCGGCGGGAAGTTCGTCGACGGAAGAAGACTATCTCCGCGTTGACAACTTATTTTTTTCAATAACGTTTCAACAACAAAATAATTATTTTTAAGAAAAAAATATGTAATTGTTAATTGCAAATTACATATTTTTTCTTCGAAACAACTATGTGTTTTCTTTACACCAATTGATTTGTCTCATTATTTTGTACATAAAAGTATTAAGGTAAGATAATCGAAAAATGAATATTTTACAAAATATTTTACGGTTTATGTAAAATTAAAAAATGATTTCAAGCCTCATAACTCGGAAAGTACTTATAATGTTTTGGAAAGCTCTCGAGATAAGCTGTAAGAATATGTAATAAAAAGTAAGCAGTTCCGTTTAAAAAATTGAAGGTGACGTGATCTTCAACGACTTTTTGAGGTCAAACCAATGACTCCATCTTATGACTACCTTCAAGCCATACAACTTTTGTCTGAAACATTTTTTTCTAACTCTAAGTAATATCGAGATATTTGACAGATAAGAATAAAATGGGACACTCTGTATATTTAAAAAAAAAATGCAAGCTTATATTTTAAATATATTGATATTTAAACTTTTCATGGTCGCTACTTTAAATCTGCCATTTTGAATTCAAATTTTGATGATAAATTTGATATAGTACCCCCAAAAATCTATAAAATTATCTTTACATGAAAAGCATCTTTTTCGAAAAGCTGGAGGTAGGTACGAAAGAGTTAATTGTAAATCTTGATAAGAATCAATTAACAATTAACAATTTAATATAAAAATTAGTTGTATCAAATAAAAAAAATTAATAAGATCTAAATGGAAAATACAAATGTACAAACATATGATATGATTCTTATAAGACAAGAATATTTCAGAATATATAGCAACATTATATTATCATTAAAAATAAAAAATATAATATGATTTACACAATATATCTTACATAATGGTACTTATTTACTTTAGGGGAGCAACTTCTGATGACATTGACCTTGACATATGTTATAGTAGTCACTCTTCTGAGACCTAATCTTCAGAAGGTTTTAGTCGTCGCTCGTTGTTTATTAAAAAGTTATTAACAAAAAAATTCACAAATTTGATACCTTTTATCTCCGAAAATATTGATTTGAGAAAAAAAATTTTAAGCAAAAAATAAAGCCGCTAAAAAACTTTATAAAAAAGGTTATATGCATTTTTTTCATAAACCTACTATTTTAGCTGTTATATGAAAAAATAATAATTTTAAATACATTTAATACAATTAAATTTATATAAATTTAAATTTATATAGAATTTAATATAATTTAATGCAATTAAAATATATCACAAATGTATGTGTACGCACAACATTTTTTTTCTCAAATCAATATTTTCAGAGATAAAAAGCATTAAAATTGTGAAGTTTTTTTATTCATAAAATTGTGAAGTTTTTTTATTCATATTTTTTTTCTTTTTAATACTTTTTAATAAACAACGAGCGACGGCTAAAATCTTTTGAATGTTACTCAGGACAGTGACCTTGACATATATGTCAATCTCAAGGTCATCAGAGATTGCGCCCCTAAAGTAAATAATTATCCAAAATATATAGCAACATTATCTTGTCATTAAGGATAACAAAGATAATATGAGTCACACAATATCTTACAGGTAATTTGAACATATCTTCAAGTCGATTGTCGCAACTATGACCCTTCTTGTCTCGCATTAAGATATAGATTTTATTGAGATCTGAACAGCTGTATAGCAACTTTTCTATGAGGACCTTGCCCATAAAACCAGAAGCACCAGTAATGAAGATGGTCTTGTTTTTGTAGAAGGATTGGATCTCAGACTTTGATTCATTCATAGCTGAAATTGATCATATATTGCAAAATTTGTGATCACGACAAACAAAAAAAGAAAATGTATTTTACTACGCGGTAAAACATATAGGAAACCACACAAATTCGCTTTGCAGTATGATATTTATAGTGTTCGTATTGTTATACAATTTCACGCGAAATGTATATTGTTACATTATTTTCAAATCACCGTATTACATTGCAACTCATAATTTTCATGCAAAAGCTTGCGACGCACAGTGGATTGAAACATAGGAAAGAGCGGACATCACATTTGTAAGAATGATATAACAATTAAATACAACTAGAGCGAAATAATTATGCACACACAATTATGAAGTATATACCTAACCAATTTAAATAATTGTTGTATGCAATATTGTATTAAACAACAATTTTTAAAAATTTATATAAATACCGCGCCAACATTACTGGTAACCAATATATTACGCAAGAAGATTGCACGGTCTTGCGTGAAGACTTCCGTGAAGAAATTCCGTAACTATATGCATTGACATCAATAGTCTTATGAAGTACTTTGTTGATATCATTTATCTCAGAAGATTTTTCCTCAAAGATAACATATGGAACATGATAATACTTATATCTTATAAAGCTACACACATTTTACCAATCAACCATGGTAAACAACATTTCGTAATTTACAACAATATTATCACATTTTGTGAGTAATAGTTTTGTTGTTTCTTTTTGTGTTCTTTCATTTGTTTTTTTTTAATTTCTGGATTTTCATGAATGAATTCGACTTTTATCTGAAGACATCGACAATACTAAGTTCATTGATTTTAATATGAAGTTGATGGATTTAAATTTTCACATAACATCAGGTCATTCATTAATTTAATAAGAACAAAAGTAGTCAATAGTATTATCCGCGTCTGTTACATTTTTTTTTTAGATTTTCTCGAGGTGCCCTCTCTCTTTTTGCAATATATCTCTCAAGGTAGCAGATAGGAGCAGCTAAAACATGTCATTTCATGAAGTAGGACACCCCTTTAATCAAATCTGACAATTCAAAGTTTAAGATATTATAAGATTTTTTTAAAAAGTTATTTTATAATTTAGTTATCGGAATTTTCTTTGAAATATAATAAAATTGGTTATCAAACCTTAAATTATATTATTTTTTTATTCGGATATGGACTTTTTTCAAGTAAAAGAATAGTCCATTCGATGTATAAAAATTAGTATATTAATACAGTAAGTAGAGAAAACTATATTGCCTTGAAAATAGACAACTAAATTGATGGAAACAGAATCATGAAACTCGTAATGTTCCAAGTCATTTTACGCACCGATTGTAACAATATATTTCAAAATGAGGATTATATACAATTTCTATGATATTTGAAGTAATCAAATTTGCAATTAAAAACTGGATATAAAAAAAAAATTTTTTGAGCTTATGTCCGCATTTTTACGTAGTTCGATCCACTGTGCGACGTAATATTTTTACAATCCTGAGTGTTCAAACGTCGTCAAAAACACAAATAACAAAAAAAATACTCGCGCTCGGAGGAACAGAGATGGAAGATGTATTATTACGCGAGCCGCGGCGAAGCGAAGGCCGTATCGAAATCTCGAAATTGGGCGCCAGATTCGGTCTGTCACGTATCAATTCGCTAAACGCCAAAATAACGCGACAAACGCTTGCTTTATTAGCCACAAGCCGACTAGCTTGTCTAACAGTAGTGGGTCTACGGAAAATATTATAATGAATTTACACGAGGCTTTACGAAAATCCAAAAATTCGACCATCACGACAAAATCTAACGTTCACAAAAGGTCGACACTCGAATTGCGCGAACTTAGTATAAAAAAATACAATATAACAAATTTATTCAATAAAAAAAAAGAAAATAAAATAGAAAAAGAAACAATTTAAAGAAAAATAATAGTAACATAAATTAGAGAATATTTGAAGCAACGATATAACAAATAATAATTCGACAGCGGTGATCATAATTACAATACAATCTATCGCAATTCGCAAAACATGAAAATTAGAAAGATCGAATATTCACGCGATACCGAAAACCTAAGGAAATGCTGTAACATTCCTGATATTTCTATCCCTTTTTTATGGCCAGACTTAGCGAGGCCGAATGGCGCATCGAAATATGTAACGATACTTTGACAGTCGAATCGTCGTCTTATTTTACGGGACTTTTCCCGCAAACGCACTTCTACTCGCTCTAATTTTTAGTCTCGATATTCAAATCGATACCAATCAGTTCGAAAGAATACCTAATAATCGAGCGAGAATAATTAATTAATTTACGAAAACGTGATAACTCGTTTGCGACGAGTCAATGCGATCGATAATCAATAGCCGTCGGACGCCGTTTACGCCACACTTCCTTTACTTCTTGATATAACGCTCCTAACATACGCGAATCTTTCGAAATTCAGCAGTCTCGTATTTTTGCGCATCGCGACACGCTTACATACACAGTAAAAAAATTTTGTGTTAAATTTAACATATTTCACATGTCCCAATTTATCCACTCTAATTTTAATGTTAATTTAACAGAAGACAAGTATGTAAATAAATAACATAAGTAATATGTTTAAAAATTAACACAAAAGTGCAACACTTAAACTTTATCTGGAAATAGAGTTTATGTTAAATTAACATATTTATAATGTTAAATTTAATTAAAAGAAAATGTTATTCTTACATTTTTATGATAAATAACAGAAGAGATATGTCCATCTAACATATTAAACTGTTATAGAGAGAAAAATAACACAACTCATCTGTATATTTTAACATATAACATATTTCATGAAAAATTCATGCATTTACGTATTAATTGTGTTGTTTTAACTCTTAGAAACGGTGAATATTAACTCAACGCAGAAATGTCAAAACAACGCAACGATAATATGTCATATTAACATAAGAGTATGTTAAAAATTTAACACAAAAAACGCTGGGTAAACTGTATAGACCAAGTAAAGGCTCTAAGAAGCATTACGCGACTGCCCAGCCGGCTCAGAGTCATGGTGCTCTTGGCAACGTGCTAAAACTGCTAATGATTTAGCAAAATACAATCATAATCCGGTTATGCGTAATGAAGTATACGAGGCAATCAAGCCTATTTATAATGATTTAAGCAGAGACGAACTTCTTCAGCGCTGCTTAGGCGGATATACGCAAAATACGAACGAGTGCTTCAATAAAGTCATGTGGACGATCGCTCCGAAAAATTATTGCTCGATGTTGGAATTGATATAGCCACATTGACATTTAACGAAGGCCTTATGTCTCTTGCCAAAGTTTTGGAAGTAATAGGCATGAAAATCGGGCCCAACTGCTATAATTTCTGCATGGAAAGTGACGCAATCCGAATCGCCAAGGCAGAGCGATCGATGTCGGATCAGGCAAAAGATGCTCGAAGAGCTAATTTGGCAGCTCGGAGAGAAGAAAACGAGGCTGATCTCAACGTGGAAGAGCAACTGTACGGAGCTGGAATCGCTGATTAAAGATACATAAAGAATTTCTTAAGTTTATTTATATTATATTATATTTATTGGTACCGAAAACTTTAAACGCGTTTTTCTCAAAACCATGTTTTTGAAATCGGCACGCAGCAGAACTCAAACAATTTTCATCCGATCGACTTGAAATTTTAACTGTAGCTTCTTAGATCGATTTAACAGTCAAGTACGAGCGCTTTTTTCGATTAATTGAAAATTGTAAAAAATATATCACTTTTTATACGAAAATTATGGTCGAAAAATCGAACTTTTTATTCAAACTCATCTCTATTTTTTTTAAAATCTTTTTTTATTTCCCTTCGTACTTGACTGCTAAAACTAATATAATTAACGAAAATATTTCACTTTTTGTTCCAAGATCAAATTTACGACAATTCTACTGCGTGCCGCGGAGAGAGTTGGCTGAAAACCAGTAGTGATGTAGCGACTCATGCGCCGCTATTTTGTATTTTTTTAACAAATAAAAAATTTTTTTACGTACTTCAATATATGTCTAATAAAGCCTAAAAGTTCTTTTAACCATATATTTTATTCCTTTCTCAAAAAAAAAATATCAAAGAAAGCAGTCGAAAATAGGCAGTTACAGTGGTGTCGTCCCTTAATAATCACTGTTTCTAACAGTTAAAATAACACAATTAATATGTAAATGCACGATTTTTTGATGAAATATGTTATATGTTAAAATGAACAGATAAGTTGTGTTATTTTTCTCTCTATAACAGTTTCCATATGTTAAATCGACATATCTCTTGTGTTATTTATCATAAAAATGTAAGAATAACACTTTCTATTAATTAAATTTAATATTATAAATATGTTAATTTAACATAAACTTTATTTCCAGATAAAGTTTAAGTGTTACACTTTTGTGTTAATTTTTAAACATATTACTTGTGTTATTTATTTACATACTTGCCTTCTGTTAAATTAACATTAAAATTAGAGTGGATAAATTGGGACATGTGAAATATGTTAAATTTAACACAAAATTCTTTACTGTGTATAATAAGCGCGACAGAGAGACGGTGATAGAACGGTGGGATAACGGACAGAATCGCGTACACATAAATTGGCATGGCACATAAATTAAAGATAGGCAACCTCACTGATATGCTTGCTTCTTGTTTTGGAATGGGATGATCTTCGGCTCCGTCCTCTCAGTTTCTGCGAAACTCACACGCAACGACAAAACTATAGCGACAACACAACCACTTGGGATGAGCGCCCGCACCACAGTGTCTCCCTGGATCTCGCGATTCAGGATCGATAACAGTGTCAATCCTGCGCGCAGGCGACCAATCGCACCGTTACATAATAGATTTCGCGACGCCCTGCGACAACGCCGTCTCGGAGATTGTAACGGCCCCGATAATTTAAATTTTCTAAATTAGGGGACTCTTTATCGACGATCTTCTTCAGCCGATCTTTTGTCTCCGACCTCGGAGGGTAGCGCCGGCCTGGCCCTGTAATCTCGGGTCTAGACAGCCGTTTTTAGGGATGTTCTTCCTCCTTTTGCTGGAGCGAAAGCTACCCATGATTTTGCGCTATCCTAACTCGAATATCCTCGGGCGCTATCTCCGCATTCGAATCTGTGGCTGGAATGGAAGCGCCGCTTCGGTTGTCGTGAAAGATTCCTCTTTGTCCTCTTCTCGATATGCTGAGTTGCCCAATGTACGAAATGAATATAACATAAAAAAATAACAATTAAGAACGCGAAATAATAATAACAGTTCGTCTCTCCGGAGATCTCGATATGACTCTTGCAATCCTATCTAGCGCGGCAGCTCGACTCGCGCCTCGTTAAGATTTTCGGGGCGGATGGACGCGCATCACAATTTGAGTCCGGATTTTGGTGCCGTTTTTTCCACTGCATGCTAGCGGCCGAGCGCCGGAAAAGCAAAGAGGACACCGTCGCGTAGAAAAAGAAACTATAATAATTTATTATATTATTTTATATTTTATATAATATATATATATACATATATATAATTTTATTATATTATTTTATATATTATGTATAATTTTAAACAATATTTTATGTTAATGTATATATATACACATATATTCTTTTTTTACGCGACAGTACCCTCTTTGCTACCCTCACTAGACCGGCATAGACGATACTGCTTTTCGCGGCGCTCGGCCGTTAGCATGCACTTGCAGAAAAACAGCATCAAGATTTGATTTCTGGTCACAAACTACAGAAATCTGTGCGCAAATAAGAATCATGATAAAAGAAAATTGACGATAGATCGATTATTTGTATTCAAATAATTATAATTTTGCAATCTAATTTATTCAATCTTATAACGATTTTCATTTTTTTTATTAGTGAAGACGATAATAGAAGATAGAAATAGGAATTTAGTCAAATAGAATGAGAAATTAATTAAAATATATCGCGATTTCTGTATATGACGAATAAATTCTTATTAAAAGTAATAATGATTGTTTTATTCTAAAAATCTTTATATTAAATAATCGTAGTTTATTTATAATTTCGATGTCCTTTTTTGCATTTCTAATTCTATAATCACTTATTACAATCTCTACTGACCATTTAAGCTTTTCAATATCAATTCGTATACAAATATACATATTATAAATATACATATACAAATATGCACAAATATACATATGTACATATTACTTATACGCTTACTTTGTGATTAAAAAAATTATAAAAAAGATTATTTAAGATCAGTTGTGTCAGATCATGTTTATGAAATTTTAAGAATACATTTGCACTTATATAAATGATTTTTAATATTTATATTAAGCGAGTTATTCTTAAGAATATATATTCAATAATTCGCAGTTATTTTTTATTGAGAAAATTGTAAAAAACTTTAATAAATGCATTCGAGGCTCGAGAAAGATATATTCTTAAAAATAACTCGCTCGATATTAATAAATGCATTATAATATTCTATATATTATTATAATTTTCTGTCTTATCTGTATATCTTCATCCAGCGAGGAAAACATATTTTTCCGCATTACTACACATATAATATGCAATATGCATGCAATTTAAGCATCACATGCCATTATTAGAATTTTTACGTAACGATATTTACAGAAAAAACAAAAGTCATCAAATCATAAATTTGAATAGATAAACTAATATAATGCATGCGTGAATAATCTCATTCATAAATAAACAAACATTAACCTAACCTAACATGATTAAAATACATTATCATTTATACACATTCATGTATTAATATTTAAAATAAATTAATTAGATTAAAGCAAATAAAAATAATAAAAATAAAAGAAAATATGTGTGTGTGTGTGTGTATGTGTGTGAAAAGTGTCATGGAATAAAAATAAAAATTATTTGATATAACTATTCTTATTTAAACGAAAAGTATATAAGAAGATATAATATAGGATAAAAATTAAACTTAGAAATATTTATAAGTAGAGATTTTGAAAATACTTTATCGTTTGATTTATATATAAATTAAACTGGTTAGATACTTCTTTTGTTCTTTTTCTACATTTCAAAATTAATTACCATATTATTGCAGTATTCAAATTATAATGAAAACCTCCTAATATGTTGTATACAAATAATAATGTGTCGAAAAGAAATAACAAAAAGTCTGATATTTATATTTTAATCTATCAATGGAAATTGAATGTAAATGACAAAGTATGTTAAAATGCGTCAATTTTTTGAATAAAAATTTCAAAATCTGTCAGCAAGTTTAATCATCGGATTAACATCTTTTTTATCAGTATATTTGTACGTCGCAAAAAATAATTCGAAAATTGATTTGAAACTAGTTTTGTTTTAAAATAACGATAAAAAACATAGCCAAGAATGACATTGGATACCTGTTGACGATATTTTACACATTCGATTTAATTTCCTTCGATCGGGATTACGAGTAATCCTATGATGTTTTGTTCTATTTTATCTGCGTTTATTATATTTTACGAGAATGGATCGCGCGTATTTTGTGCTCGTGAATGTACTGAGCTTTAGCGTAATCCGTGTTGAATATTGTACTGCAGTTGCTACTAATAAATTATTCCAGCCGATTAACCGTATAATTTATTAAATCTTATTTTTTCTAGAAATTGCGTCATTTAATACTAAATAACGCAATTTGTAAAAGAAAAAAAATTTATAATATGCAGGATAACGATTACAAAATATATTAATTAACGTTCATAAACTACAAGATATAGATTTAATACGTATTACATTTATTATGTAATTGTAAATTAAAAACTTTAAAAAATAAGAATTATATAATATGTCTTTGGTTTTATATACTCTACTCGTAGATTTGGGGGATAGACGAATAATATTTTATATATATTCTTGATGATAAATTGTTACAATTGCGTTAGGCTATATTCTCTTTTTGAATAAAATCAGCAAATATCGATTTTCTCCTACTCTCACTCTTCTTTTAATATAAGTTATGAGTTAATAGACCTGCATCGTTCTTAGATTTTCATGAAATAAAGCAAAAACATTATACAATATCGTATAGATGATATAATTGAAATGTGGAATGTATGAATTTTTGTGACCTTAACAAACAAAATAGTAATACTTTTTACGAAAAACTTTACAAAAATGTTAACTATTTAAATATAATATTTAAATTTTTGAACTTTGAATTTTTTTCATACTTTTAACAAAGTTTATATCATAATATAAGTTTATATCATAATATAAAAAGTTTCATTAAAATAAATATAAAAAAATTTAAAATATTAACAGCTGAAATAGTCGTTTAGTGTCATAAATAAATAAGATAAAAAGGAAATAAATAGCAGAAAAAGCGGAAGAGTAAAATTAAAAAAAGGAAGAGTAAAATTATATTATATTTTACTATTAAATCTGTCTATTTTATTACTAAAAAACGAGGCAAATTCTATTTAATATTTTTTTTAATATTATCTTATTCCATTTTTTTATAGCAAATATATAAATAAATAAAAATAAATAAAATATTTTAATATCTCATAAAAAATTTTTTTTTGAATATATCAATACATTATTATTTATCAGAAAGATATTTAAGGGGATGCCGGAGTCGCAGCCGAACTTCGACGGGTAGGCGCTCTCATTTTAACATAACAAAAAGTGTCGGTACATTACCAACACTTATAGTTATGTTACCGACAATCTTATCTACCCCGATAACTAAATGTTAGCACGGTAACCGCACGATGCACGCACGCATGCGTTATCGTGCTGTCTTATGATGGCCAGATGCAACCGCATCTGGCAAGTATATGCTTGGCACGTCACACTTAGCAGATAGTGCAGACAACATGCAAGCATTTTGCACATCAAAATGTCAGCATTGTGTAAACATACAAATTTGTAAAACGATAATAAATGCTTTTTTTATAATTATTAATATATATTTTATATATATAACATTGTTTAATAAAATAAAAACATTATTTAGACTTATTCATACAAAACATTTTTATTTAATATGATATAAATATATAATCATTTTTTTATCAATATATTATACGTTTTGTATTATTTATATATATCAACTTATAAATTATTTAAATAAACTTTATATAAACTTATATAAACTTATATAAACTTTTAGATGTATGAAACAAAACTTGTATAATATAAACTTTTAAGTAATCAAAAAAAACTTTTCTTAAGAATTTTATAAACTTTTAGATGTATGAAACAAAACTTATATAATATAAACTGTTAAGCAAACAAAAAAACTTTTTTTCAGAATTTTTGAAAAAAAAAAAAAACATTGTGTTTTAGAAAACATATGAAATTTAAATTTCGCCAAATAAATCATCATTAGATGAATTATAACTTTCTTCAATTATATCTGCTTGATATTCTTCATCTTCTATTATTTCTTGCTGAGCATCATCAGAATAATCAATATTAGATTGACTATGTGTGTCATTTTTTCGCTCATCTCTAACAATTTTTCTTCTTCTTCCCAAATTCTTTGGGCTCGTTATCATCATCATCGTTATCGTCATTTTCTACATCACATGTAGATCTTTTTTGTTGTCGGCAAAAACGCTCTTTCGTGCTCTTCAGAGCTTTTATCATAGCATCTTCAAATTCATGTCGTCGTGGTTTTGGAAAATTAAAATTACTGCTGATTGCATCTAAAAGAAAAACATATTTATTTGTTTTTTTATATTGTAAAATTTTAATTATTTATATAAATCTATAATATATTTTATTTTATATTTATTTACCTTCACAAGCATGTGCGAAGCGAGTATGTTTTAAAGCTTTTAACTGTTTCGTTCCATGTCAAGTTACTTGCAGCGAAATTTGCTCAGCATTTTGAAAAGCATATTTGAAATACATTGCAGCACAATCAATAGGATTTAATCCACCTATATAAATGAAGTAATCTACCTGAAATAAAAATAAAAACAAAATAAGTAATAGATATTTTTTGTTCAACAATTTAATTATTGTCATGCATAAATATAAGCATAAATATGTAAAACAGAAATATATTTCAAAAATCATGCTCAAGCTTTTGACGTATTGCGTATTGTAAGATATATATATTTAGAAATATAGAATATATGCAATATAGAACATTATTATTATTGCTTTTATTAATTGGATCCACTCTTGTTTTAAATTACTTTAGAATGGAAAAGAATTTAAAATATAGTTACGCAGTTATAAAAAAAAGAACTTTCATAATAAAGTAAACATGCAGTCATGGTTATATATTGTAAGTTGATATAGTGCAAAGCTATAAAGATTAAATAATGAAATATTTTTCAGAAAATATCTTACACGAAACGTACTGATGATAGTAATATATATGTCGATAACTTTTGCGATTCTCTAAATTTTCTGGATTTCAATCCTGTACATAAAAATTCTGTTACAAAATTACAGAATCATATTGTAATAAAGCAACAAAATTGCTTTTTAATTAGAAAATATTTTATGTTCTTAATGTAAATTACTTGAAATATTTTATATTCTTAATATAAACGACTTCAGTCATTAATTACAATATATATACTTACAACTTCATCGTACAGTTCATCAGTTGCGTTATCAAAGTTTATTAAACTTTCAATAGATTTAAATGGAAAACATTTTGGCATCAATTGGACTCTTCTATTTTTTGCTTTTGTTAATCGCAACAACATTACATGATTTTCACTACACAAATAAAAATAAGTATATGTAAAAAAATATTTTTAAATGTAAATGAGTAAAGTAATTCTACAGATTAATTCTACAGAAGTTTGATTTTTATAACGTTATACCTTTCTCTCTTTTCAATAATATCCAAGCGTTGATTTAATTTCCTATAAAAAATAAAGTATATATTAAATTTCCTTCTTTTCTTTTGTATTGTTTAAAGAGTGTACGAAACTTTAATCATACAATAGTTTAAAAATAGATATAATAAATAAAAGATATTATACAAGAAATATTTCACCCAACGTAATATACTTTATATTATACTTACTTAAATAATTGTTGAAAAACATTAATAATATGTTGTTGTTGAATCATATTAGTGTTTGCATTCGAAGAACTGGAAGCTTTTGGAATAATTGATTTATCGCTTGTTGCTGACGATTGTATTACACAAGCAGGATTTGTTGGTATGGATATTTGATTAAAGCGCTGTTTAGAAGTATATTCTTTTACTTTAAAAGTATTTTTGTTAGGTTGTAGTTGTTCGCGAAGTTCACATTGAGGCATATAATTCTGTAACAAACAAGGTTATGTTAAACATATTATTAAAATAAATATTTAAACATATTTTATCATTTTTAAATATTATATTTACTTGTGATGACTGGTTTTTTGAAACTGATTCATCTTTTTGAATGGATTGCGATGCTTTATATTCTTGAGAAGTCTTCTTAATAGAATTTTTCTTTCCATACATTGTTAAACTTGAAACTTCAGCTCCATCATTTCTATTTCTATTATTTTCAATTAAAGGTTTCTTTTTATAAGGATTAATCAAAGATGGTGATAGTTGAGATTCCATATTATCTAATGACAACGTCTTCTTTGCATTCTCTATGTCAAGTTTTAAATTTTGCATACTTTGTTGTGATCCAAGCGTACCCACAAGATGGTGACTTTTTTTATTCATTTGGAAACTGAAAAAAAACCCGCCAAAAAAATTAATTATCTTAATCAAAAAAAATAATACGTTAATAAATTTGTTAATTAAAAGAAGATAAAATTTTGACAACAACATAATCATCAGAATTTGCAGTATGTATTATATCACAGAGAGGAACTTTGAAGCATTTTCCAGCAACTTGATTGAAATTAATTATTATTAACTCATCGTCAAGTGAGAAACAATGAAAAATTCCTATATTAGAAGATGGTATTACAGTATGAAAGAAATTTTCAATTTTACGGAAACGTTTCACTACAAGATGATACTCATTATCATGGCCAATAATATTTTGAAGAATGCAAATATTAGAATCTTTAAGAATTATTGTATCATCCCTTCCATTTAATGATAAAGTAAATTGTCTGCAATGTAAATTTCGATATTGAGAAAAATTATTAAAAGTAACTGCAGGTACAGGTCCATTTTTATGCAAACCTGAACAATGGATGAAATTTTCAGTAAAAGCAACAAATTTTTTTTTTAACATTTTTTTCTTCGGAACGTCTATTTGCTATTTGCTGCAAATGTTGATTTGGCTTTCTGATAATTTTTCTGAAATAATTCATATTATTTTCATATGGAAAAGCTGAAAACGAATCTAAAGGACCATAATTTCTAACATCATTAGCTAAGTGTAGAAGGCCATGAACATTATACGAAAGAAATTCTATACCATAATGCTCAGGAACTCTTGAAACAAAAATTTTTAACATTATTTCTGCCTCATTAATGACTGCTGCATTCCTACAAGAAACAGTGTCTACTAAAATACGAATCGCAGAATGTAATAACAAAAAATGTAAATATGTTGCTTCATTAAGAAGTTTATAAAAAATGACAGGACCAGTATACAACAAAATCTGACGATGCTCTGTAGCCTTAAAAGTACGATGTTTTGTTACATTAATTGGCCTCCTTGCAAATTCTTGTGGACAAAATTTCTTGGCTATCTCCAATCTAGCAGAAAGAGTTTTTATCGAAACAGGTGAAAGTTTTGCAGAAGAAGCATATTTCCCATCAACGACAGCTAAAAATATTTTTTCCATAACACCGAGGCAAACTAAATGCATATAATCGAAAATAGATTGATTTACTAAATCTATAGAAAGACGTGAAATATAGGCTTCACCTTCAATATGATGTTCTCCATCTAAACACATAATATATTCTTCATTTGTTCGCAACCTATGGTCAACACCACTATATATCATAACACCTTGACGAATACTTGTTCCTACAACCCAACATTTCGAACATGGAACTTTTGATTTATGGCCTTGATGCCCTAATATAAAAGCACGTGCTACTGCATCTGCGATAAAACAACGGAGATCAAATGTATGCTTTTTTCCATTAAAAACAATCCAATTATTGTTTCTAACTTCTAGTACATCATTGACAAAAGGTTTTAATAATTCTGCAGCACTTGTAGGTTTCGAAGATCCTTTCCAAACTCCTACGATTTCTGGCTTGCTTTGAGGAATATTTGCAATTCTAATTTGTATAGGATATAACTGTATGTTACTTGCACTATCTAAAGAAATCCCATCTATGTGAAAATCTATTTCAAAATTATTAGGAATCATATTCAAAGAAGTATTTTGAAGAATAGATTTAATAGCTTCTTGAAAACCTAAATGAAGATATTGCCCTCCAGTTATATTATCAATATGACATGATGTGCGAGGAGTATTCAGAATTGTCCTTGGATCGCTTGCAAGATGCGAAAAACAAGAATGAGTTCTGAGGAATTTCAAAATCTCTTTAGCCTGGACATGATGAATCCCTGTTTTTAAAAATACAGAAGCAAGTCGACCTTCAAAATTTCTTTTTTCTGTAACTATCAAAGAATTCTCAGTCTCATATTTATTTTTGTTTTCAACTGTTAAATCAAAATTATTATATTCTATATCATTATTCGAAGAAGATTTTTGAAAAAAATCCGTACTTTGACATTCCTGCATAATAAGCGAATTGGTTGAAGCATTTAGTTTTAAAACATTCTCTCTTTTATTAGATTTTGAAGATATTTCGGCAATATTTATCATTTCATTACGCAAAGCAAGAACTGTTCAAGCTAATTTCTGCTTATATCCAACTGAAACATTATGAATAATTTTCCGAGAACGTATTTTCTGTAATTTATACATACTGCAAATTATAAAAAAACAAACTAATTTTAATCAAAAGTTAATTTATATATATATATATTATCAAAAAATGGAATATAAATTGAGGTTATGTATTGTTTGTACGTATAATCAATTATAAAAATATAGGAATACTTTTAAATTATATTGGATTATTTTTTATAAAAAATTAAACTTAAATATATACTCTCCTCAAGTATAACAAAAAAAGGAAACCTGCGTAAAAAACCTGGAAATCTGGAAAAATTGCAGACTGCTGAGCACGTGGCACCTATTCGCACGACGACTTTTATTTTAATGCGATATCGTACTTACAGAATGCTTTCATCGCATGATTGCGTTACCTGATGACACTGTGCGAACATTGCCTGCTTTATCGATACAAGATGGCACAGAGACCGCATATTGATTGCATGATGCGCTGGCAGAACGTGCTTACAATTAGCATGCTTGGTTATTGGGGTAATGTTACGTCCCGGTTACAAAGTAATAGAGAACTACAATACCGAGATGGTTAACATAATTATTTTATTCAAATGCCTCCCGTGTTTTTTAGTCACCCTGCATTCATCGGGTTTACTGGGGATGAGGGAGATTGTGATCTATTATCAAATTTAAATTGTATTCTAAATGAGAGTAAATAGGATGAAAAGATAAAATAAGATAATATAATATAACTAGGTGATTAAATTATTTTAGAGAACGCAATTGATCGTGAAGTAATGCTACTAGAATGAGTAGAATTAAAATAACCAAGATCAATACACAGATTACTAATTCTTTCATTATACGTATTAATAATTAATAATAATTAAGCAATAATAATTGATCTTAAATAATTGGATAATCAACGTAATAACTATAAATTAAAATAATAATTATAACTATGGTAATAATGAATTGTACAGAGTAATTATACCAAGTAAGATAATAATGACAAAGACGTATTAATAATTAATAATTCGATAGAAATTAAATTGATAACATTAATTTCTATTATAATATTATTAAAGAAAGGGATAGAATAAAAATAAATTTTAACTCACCAAAATTTTAACTACTCCTTTCTTACTGGGAGAAAAATTGAGATTCTTCCTTCCTTCTAAATCTGTCGGAAGTAGCGCTCGGAATTCAAAGATCCAGTAGCGTGCAATTTCCAAGGGATGACAGATTTTAAAACTCGGCGGTAGAAAGTGGTTCTCAATAAAATCTCGTAGAACTTTCCAATTAACTCTACGTATATTGTATAAAATATGAGTGTATAGGTAAATACAATCAAGTCAGAGAATAATGCAGTGAACAATCAGCGAAAATCAGAGTTCGTCCTAACTGTAGGCCGGAGAAAAATCTACTGGTCCTCCGTGACCATGACCGGTAGGCGTTGGTCCTCCTTGATACGAGTCAGTGGGGACTTAGATAAGGCGAATTTCATCATCTCCTTTGTCCATTCGAATATCGATCTGCCATTCTTGCAGATGTTATGTTTAGCTGATTAGCGAGAGCGAGTCGCCGTGTGAAAATTACATGGATGAACCTTACAATTTATTACAGATTTACTTTCTTCTTTCAACGCTGGCTATGTACAATTTTGAATGTTTTTGTTCTTATTACCTAGACCTGATATTACTTAAGTGGAATAATTAACCAAAAAATTTACAAATGATGTCATAATGAGAAATGGATTACCAGTAATGGTCATTATCTGTGATTATGATTTACATTCCATGATAGATAAACGCCAACTGAATCCCGAAGGCGTTTTAAAATCGCTCCTTTGTACAATGCATTATTCGTAGACGAATTTATAATTCTTTTATATCTTCATAATTTTAATACTATAACTCTAATGAATTTGGTTAAAATAGTTATTAAAAGTAACTAAGTAATTAGAATATGAGTAAGATTTATTAAAGATAAATGCAATTATAACGTTAATACTAATAAAAATAATATCTACTTCAATCTTGCTCTTTCGTGATTAGATAGAATTGAACAAATTCCAACAGGGTAAAGAAGGAATCTGTTTGTATAGTAAAAAGAGAAAATTTATTGGTCGGGACGTCACACTAATATAAAGACATGCATATTTTGGAAAGAGCAATATAAAAACTTTTCTTTATATTGTGTATGTAAAAAACTACTGTATTGTATATCCTACAAAAATATTGATATCAAAAAAATTGCGGTAAGTGAAAATAAAACTTATAAAAATACTTTAACCAAAAAAAGTTATACAAAATAGTTGTTTTAATTTTTTTTTAAAAGGGTAATTTTTTAGGGATATCACTCTTTTTTGTACTATATATTAAACATCTTTAAATAAATGAGCAAAGAACCCGCCATCACCCCCGTCATATTTCATTAAAATTAGACGGTCCTCTTTGCTTACTATATAGATATTCAGATCCTTCAAACTTCTTTGCTATTCTTATTGCAAAAATAACGGATAACTACAAATCAATATGTCATTAGAAACCGTATATCCCTTTTCTTTCAAAAACTAAGCATTTTAGAGAAAAACGTTTTCGACAAAATTTCTATGGTTTTGAAGGGAACATAAGATGATGTCATTAGTTTGACCTTGGATGGCATCGTTAAGATCAGGTCAAGGACACCTTTAATTTCTTAAATAGAACTACCAATTTTTTATTGCATATTCTTATAGCTTATGTCGAGAGCTTTCCAAAACACTATAATAAAGTATTTTTTCATTGAGTACTTTTCGATTTATAAGGCTTAAAATAATATCTTAATTTTACATAAACTATAAAATATCTAGTAAAATATTTATTTTTTGATTATCCTACCTTAATACGTTTATGTACAAAATAATGAGAGGAATCAATTAGTGTAAAAAAAAACACACAGTTGTTTTTAAGAAAAAATATGTAATTGTTAATTGCAAATTACATATTTTTTCTTAAAAACAACTGTATGTTTTCTTTACACCAATTGATTCCTCTCATTATTTTGTACATAAAAGTTTTAAGGTAAGATAATCGAGAAATAAATATTTTATTAGATATTTTATAGTTTATGTAAAATTAAGATATTATTTTAAACCTTATAAATCGAAAAGTTCTGACCTTAACGATGCTATCCAAGGTCAAACCAATCTTATGTTTCCCTAAAAACCATACAATTTTTGTCCAAAACGTTTTTCTCTAAAATACTTAGTTTTTGAAAGAAAAGGAGTGTACGGGTGGTCTAGGACACCCTGTAGATATAATAGTCTTAACATCACGGAGCGCCGCTAGCGCAATCTTACGTCGAATGCGTCAAACGTACAACTTTGTACGCTTGCGCATTGGGGACTTGAGCGTTAACCAAGAAGACGTTTCTTAATGAAAATTTTTCATATTTCGACTTTGGATCATAATACTGTTCACGATACACGTAGAGCAAAAATAAAGACACTTTTTTGATATAAATCAAGCTCAAGTTATCAATTAAGCCTAGTAAAAACTCGATCCGTTCAGCGATTATTTCAATATGATAATCTCGAATATCTCCAATTATCCGACTCGCATAATTATACACGGAGTGTCTTGTTGCTTACGCGGGACTTAGCACAAGATACTATCATGTCTCTTGATTTATTGAAACAAAAAATATGTTGCATTTTCACTACTCTATCGTCTCGCACAAGCAATTTAAAGCATAGATCTGTCTTTACTGCGTACATATTTAAACATAATTCTAATATCATTGCTCTCGTTTAGCTATGTCTCTTTATATATATAATAAAATATAAATAAAAATATATTGTGAAAATATTTATAAATATTATGTACTTATAAATTTCACGAATACGATATTACATCAAACAATTTGCATAAACATTTTATATTGTTAGCTTTTGATTATATTGATTTAACAAATGTGCATAAATTGTAATTTGTAGAAAGTTATATGCAAATATCCTTTTCATTGTATATACAAAGTGTTGCAGAGTACTATATATATATATAAGTGCTTGTGAGGAGCGCAGTAAATTGAAGAAAAAAGTCCCATAGCATTTTATGATTTTCGCAATAATAAAAATTATAAAATAAATAAATTATATAATAACATTAAATAAAATCGAACAAATATGTATTTACGTGTGTGTGTGTGTGTTTGTGTGAGAGAGAGAGGGAGAGAAAGAGAAACACTGGGCCGTTCGAGCTATTGCATGATCCAGCGTGTTAGACATGTCGTCGGCACGTGGAGAAGAAAGAACAGCGAGACATAAGTTGTCATTCGTTACAACGTCATCGCTGCGCCGCGCTGTCCCTCCCCTTGCCGCGCGCCGACAAAATGCCTAACACACTGAATCATGCAATAGCTCGAACGGCCGAGCGTTTCTCTCTTTCTCTCTCCCCCTCTCTCTCACACACACACAAACACACACGTAGATACACATTCGATTTTATTTAATATTATTATATAATTAATTAATTTATTTTATTTCTTTTTATTATTGCGAAAATTGTAAAATGCTGGGACTTGTTTCTTCAATTTACTGCGCTCTTTATAAGCGCTTATATATGTACAGTACTCTGCGACATTCTGTATATACAATAAAAAAGATATTTGCATATAACTTTTTACAAATTATAATTTATGCACGACGTTTGTTAAATCGATATAATCAAAAGCTAACAATATAAAATGTTTTATGCAAATTGATGTAATGTCATAAAATTTATAAATAATATAATATATTTTCAATTTAATACATTCTTTGTCTCAAAAGCATCGAAATAATAGATTTATATCGATAATATAATAGGTTTCATCGTCCATTTGCATACGCAATCATAATATATTTTTTTCGTCTCTCTGATATATGCAAATGAGATATTTGTACTGAGGCGTCTTTTTCTAATGATATTCATTGGAATATCGTGATCAGATATGATAAATATAAGATATATGACAAAATATATGAATAATTTATCATTTTAGAAAAGGCAATTTACTTTCTGCTATAATTTAAAAAAAATGTTGCTTTGTACATTTCACATTATTGAAATATTTTTCCTTACAAGAATTTCCTTCTAAGGCTATAGTTTATAGTAGTGTAAGGAAAGCCACAGCATATGCTATCAAGTTGAAGCTTTTCAAATATTATATTATTTGTAGGCAACGACAATGAAAGTAATTTTTTTTAGTCACCAATAAACACCACACAGCCGGGTAGGCTATCATACATTCGAAGCTTGGTGTTATCAAAAAAAAATCGCCAGCAATCAGTGTAATTTTCCAATAATTTGTTAGCTTTTGTCGCTATATGCTACAATTACACAATAACACAGGCCCACAAAAAAAAGTGAAGTTTAATGTCCATAAAAGAAACCATTGTATTCCTAAGTAATTTTTCCCGCTGAATCCGAATCTGAAATCGGTTTGACCGTATCACGTCAAGTTTAAGGTCATTTCAAGGTCAAATTGCGAAAAAATCACATGCGTAAAAGAACAATGTGTATGTCTATATTTTTGGGGTCGCTGAATTCGAATCCGTAGTCCGTTTGGTCCGACAAGGTTCAGATCAAGGTCAGTTCAAGGTCAAATGTGTTAATTTTGCTTAAAATGAATTTTTGACTGCAGAATCTGAAAGAACGGAAAATTTTACGTTCACATATGTATTTTAATTTTTTTTTGTATCATAATATATCAAGACAAACAGCCACAACACTTATGATCTTTTGCTTTTTCTCACTCTTTTGTCTTCAAATGATCTGTGTAGTGGATTTCGCTTTCTCTTCTTTCCATCTACAGTACTTTCTCTTTTCATCATAGGAAATAAGTTAAGTTACTACTCGGGAAGTGTTCCAAGTGTAAGTTTGGTAGTCGACCACCAGATGACTACCACTAAAATCATAAAAACTGCAAGTAAATCGGCGTACCTCAGAGATAAATTCGGCAGATATGAAGACTTTACTTTGCCGTCATGGTAGGCACACAGAAATCGGTTACGATCCAGGGATTCAGAACCCGAGTATCGGCGATGAGTTTCGGCGAGCAAGCGGGCTCGCAATCGTCCTCACTGTGCTGTGAGTGAATTATTGAGATTTCTTAATGGAAATATATGTACAGCCTTGCGTTGGCTCTTTCAAGCATACACGCATTTTTGTATACGTCTGTGTACGTTTGCGTACATCTTTTTTTGTAAATATGTGCATGTGAGTGCGCATCCGTGTTCCCGTACACAGATCATTTGAAGACAAAAGAGTGAGAAAAAGCAAAAGATCATAAGTGTTGTGGCTGTTTGTCTTGATATGTTATGATACAAAAAAAAAAATTAAAATACATATGTGAACGTAAAATTTTCCGTTCTTTCAGAATCTGCAGTCAAAAATTCATTTTAAGCAAAATTAACACATTTGACCTTGAACTGACCTTGATCTGAACCTTGTCGGACCAAACGGACTACGGATTCGAATTCAGCGACCCCAAAAATATAGACATACACATTGTTCTTTTACGCATGTGATTTTTTCGCAATTTGACCTTGAAATGACCTTAAACTTGACGTGATACGGTCAAACCGATTTCAGATTCGGATTCAGCGGGAAAAATTACTTAGGAATACAATGGTTTCTTTTATGGACATTAAACTTCACTTTTTTTTGTGGGCCTGTGTTATCGAAGAACTTCGCGAGACTGGCATTATTATAAATTAAACTATGCGTCGACGATACGTGTCATTCGGTCAATGTTTTCGGTACCGAAATGTCGATTAATAAATTTGGATTATCGCTAAGAACATCGAATAATTTGTACTATGAATGGAATGGATTATTGAGAAATTACGTTCGCGATAACGCTCTCTGCCAGACTACTACCGGCTTTGACGCAAGGTCGCGCAAGATTCAACGCATAGCGCAATCGGAAGCTAATACCGACGCCGTCAACAAACGATACATGGATAAACTTTTGAGAAATCGACAGAGAGAAATTGAACAAAAGATAATCGCGCTTGAAACAAACGTGCAGGCGCTACGATTAATGATGGATGAGATAAAGAATGTACTGAGATATGCAACATCTGACTCGACACAGTAAGCGAGATATACGGATATACTAATATCGTATATTAATTATGCCTCGATCAAACATGCGAGAGAACAAAAACACCTCCGAAAAGCGACAACTAGTCGAGGAATTACATGCTCCGGCGAAAAGAAATTTTCCACGAAGACGCGTCATTGTACGCGGATACGACGATCTGAGGCTGGCGGACGTGATCGATATGCGTTCGTACTCTCGACTCAACAAGGGTTATAAATATATATTTAGTGCTTCGAACAAAAAAATGTAATTGTTAATTGCAAATTACATTTTTTTGTTTGAAGCAATTATGTGTTTTCTTTACACCAATTGAGTCTTCTCATTATTTTGTACATAAAAGTATTAAGGTAAAATAATCGAAAAATGAATATTTTACAAGATATTTTACGGTTTATGTAAAATTAAAAAATGATTTCAAGCCTCATAACTTGGAAAGTATTTAATGAAAACTAACATAATTGTAGTGTTTTGGAAAGCTCTTGAGATGAGCTACAAGAATATGCAAAAGTATATAAGGTGTCCCATTTAAAAAGTTGGAGCTGACCTTCACGTGACCTTCGGGTGGCTCTTCAAGATTAAACTAATGACACCATCATATGTCCCACTTGAAACCATACAACTTTTGTCTGAACAATTTTTTTGTATTCGGCTTACCAACGGAGTTATTCAGGTGGCCTGTTTTAGATGCCTCACCCTGTATACTCACGGTTATCGATGTGTTGAGCAAGTATGCGTACCGCTCAAGAGTAAGAGCGGGAACGAAATGTCCGAAACGATCGCAAAGATTATTGAAGACGATAAAAGGTGTTCAAAAAATTTTCAAACCGACAGAGGAAAATAATTTTACAACTCGAGTGTACAGAAACTCATGAAGAAACACAACATTAATCATTACTCGACATATTCCGTTATGAAAGCCTTGGTCGTGGAACGATTCAATCGTACTTTAGAAAATAATATGTGGAAAATGTTTACGTTGAATGGAAATTACAAATGGATCGACGAGCTATCTCGACTCGTTGCAGAGTACAATACGCGAAAACATCGCACTATCGGTATGAGACCTGTCGACATCACTCCGGCGATCGCCGAAAAACTTTTAAATACGGTGTACAGCAACGTAAAAATTGCGGCTCCGGCAAAATTTAAAGTAGGCGATTCGATACGCGTGAGCAAATACAAGACCATCTTTGAAAAAGGTTTCACATCAAATTGGATGACTGAAATTTTTAAGATTATCAAGGTGCAGAAAACTAATCCCGCGACATTCATACTCGAAGATTCGCGGGGAAATCCCGTCGCTGGAGGATTCTACGAATACGAGTTACAACGCGTCGTCAATCCCGACGTATATCTCGTGGAAAAAATTTTACAAAAAAAGGGTGACGAGGTTTATGTGAAATGGTTGGGAATGGATAAATCATACAACTCTTGGATTCATAAAAATAATGTATTATAACTATTTATTGAAACATAAAATATGCGTATAAAATATAAAATTTATTAAAATATAAATATATAATAAATATATAATATAAAATGTACAAAATATATACAAATATACACAATATAAATATACAATTAATAAACAAAATATACATTTATTTACAACGGTATCCGATAATGTCCCCACGGTAGCGCATCGGTGGTATCGGGTACGATATATCGCTTGTCATCGTACAGACTCAGAGCAATTTTTGTCTCGCGGATCGTGTATACTTGGTGTAATTTAGATTGTATACATGACTGCTGACGCATCATTTCAATCTCTTCGTTCAAACACTGCGTGTAATCGTCGAATGTTATCGTTCTCGCGACAACGTTGCTCTTGACGCCTTTAACTTTCTTCGTATCCTTTTTTCCATTCACTCGTAACGCGTAGATCTTTGCTCTGAGCCCGACGAATTTGGTAATTATGGCACCGTTGTTTTCATCCTTCATCAGACCCGGTACTTTTTTATTTAGAAGCAGTATACCTTACGCATTATCCACCGCATAATCGCTCGTATCGAATCTAGAGATGTCGCGCTTCATATTCTCATACACATCCGCGCACTCGATGTGATATATGAGACTGTCCGTGTCAGTATACATTATCCGAAATTTTTAAAAATGTAATTTGCAATTAACAATTACATTTTTTTGTTCGAAGCAATTATGTGTTTTCTTTACACCAATTGATTCTTCTCATTATTTTGTACATAAAAGTATTAAGGTAAAATAATCGAAAAATGAATATTTTACAAGATATTTTACGGTTTATGTAAAATTAAAAAATGATTTCAAGCCTCATAACTTGGAAAGTATTTAATGAAAACTAACATAATTGTAGTGTTTTGGAAAGCTCTTGAGATGAGCTACAAGAATATGCAAAAGCATATAAGGTGTCCCATTTAAAAAGTTGGAGCTGACCTTCACGTGACCTTCGGGTGGCTCTTCAAGATTAAACTAATGACACCATCATATGTCCCCCTTGAAACCATACAACTTTTGTCTGAACAATTTTTTTATATTCGGCTTACCAACGGAGTTATTCAGGTGGCCTGTTTTAGATGCCTCACCCTGTATATATATATATATATATATATATATATATATATATATACATAAATATCCACTGAATGTTGTATGGATACTCAGTGGGTATTGGCTTATATATCCTAGGGATACTTATGAAACCTCATTTTGTGGACATTTGAATATTTTATAGCATCTTTCAGCTATTTCTCATATATTTGGATATCTTTAATATCCATAAAAAATATCCAATGGATATCTAATATCAATTATTTTCTGCATGGGATGTCTACATTGATTTTATTGTTATCGGCATTTATATCAAAATGATATGAATATTTAATAAGATTAATTATATTAATATAGTTAAAAAGACTATATCTCTCTTATAATATACAGAGTGTGAGGGAATTTTTCGCAGTCCCGAAGTGTGAAGGTAGATTAGCTCAAATTAAGAAGAAAGGTCTTCTACTTCTGTTTTGTGATATTTGCAATAATTAACGAAAAATTAATTAAAGAAGATCGATCAAAGCGCGTGGCTAAAAGTGCGTGGCGGTGAAGGCGGTCTTACTCTAATATAATCACGGCACGCGGCGAAGGTTCTTCCCCTTCTCAATCACCGCTTCGCAGCGCGCCGCCATTATGTTACAGTAAGATCGCCTTCACCACCACGCGCATTGGTCGATCTTCTTTAATTAATTTTTCATTAATTATTGCAAATATCGCAAAACAGTAGAAGACCTTCCTTCTTAATTTGAGCCAATCTACCTTCACACTTCGGGAATGCGAAAAATTTCCTGACACCTTGTATATTACATATATTTATATTTGTGTAATTAAGTATCTTATTTACTTTTTAATTTTATAATAGGAAAAAGTATATAAAGAATTATTGGAAATTTATGGGACGGTAACTCCAAAATCTGCCCGAATTAAATATGAAGATTTGCAACATATGAATTACTTGGATCGTTTCATCAAAGAAACTATGAGACTATTTCCTGCTGCTCCTCTTATTGGACGACATCTAACAGAGGATGTAAAAATGGGTTTGTTTTTAAATATAATTATTTTGTAATTTTATACATATACATATATATATATATGTATATATATATATATATATATATATATATATATGTATATATATATATATGTATATATATGTATATATATGTATATATATATGTGTGTATATATATATATGTATATATATATATAATATATATATATATATATATATATATATATATATATATATATATACAGGGTGTCAGGGAATTTTTGACCTTCACAAAGTAAGGAGGTAGATTGGCTCAAATTAAGAACGAAGAACCTCTATTGTTTTGTGATTGTCGCAATAATTAACGAAAAATTAAATAAAGAAGTTCGGTTCCCCAATGCACGTGGGGAAGGAGCGATGAGTGTGTAAGCGCATGGCGGAGGCTCCTCCCCTCCCCAATCACCGCTTTGTCGCGCGTCGCCATTATGTTACAGTCAGACCGCCTTCGTCGTCGTGTGCTTCTAGCCACGCGCATTGGCCGATCTTTTTTATTTAATTTTTCGTTAATTATTGCGACAATCACAAAACAATAGAGGTCCTTCCTTCTTAATTTGAGCCACTATCCATGATTACTGCCATCACCATTTTCACGTTTCGCCGCGCGCCGGCAGGCAATGTTTGATACGGTGGGCCGTGCTATAGCTTGAGCGGTCAAGCGCTTCTCCCATTCGTCCGATTTTAATAATTAATATTACTATTATTGCAAAAATCGTTACATGGAATAGGACTTCTTTATCAAGAGACACGGTAGTGTCTTGTGCTAAGTCCCGCGTAAGCAACAAGACGCGCCGTGTATCATTACGCGAGTCGGATAGTTGGAGATGTTCGAGATTATCATATTGAAATAATCGCTGAACGGATCGAGTTCTTATTAGGCTTAATGGATAGCTTGAGTTTGATTTATATAAGAAAAGTATCTTTATTTTTGCTCTACGTGCATCGTGAACAACAATATTATGATCCAAAGTCGAAATATGAAAAATTTTCATTAAGAAACGTCTCCTTGGTCATCGTCGCCCAAGTCCCCAATGCGCAAGCGTAAAAAGTTGTACGTTTGCCGCATTCGACGTAAGATTGCGCTAGCGGCGCTCCGTGATGTTAAGACTATTATATACAGGGTGTCTCATTTTAATCGATGGATCCAAATTTCTCCTAAACTACATCAGCTACAAAAAAATGTTTCAGACAAAAGTTGTATGGCTTGAAGGGGAACATAAGGTGGTGTCATTGGTTTGGCATTGAAAAGTCACCTGAAGGTTACGTGAAGATCACATCCAACTTTTTAAATGGGACTTCCTATATGCTTTTGCATATTTTTTTAGTTCATCTCGAGAGCTTTCCGAAATACTATAATTAAGTTAATTTTCATTAAGTAGTTTACAAGTTATGAGACTTGAAATCATTTCTTAATTTTACATAAGTCGTAAAATATCTAGTAAAATATTCATTTTTCGATTATCTTATCTTAATACTTTTATGTACAAAATAATGAGAGGAATCAATTGGTGTAAAGAAAACATACAGTTGTTTTTAAGAAAAAATATGTAATTTGCAATTAACAATTCCATATTTTTTCTTAAACAACTGTATGTTTTCTTTACACCATTTGATTCTGCTTATTATTTTGTACGTAAAAGTATTAAGATAAAAGTTAAGTATAAAAGTTAAGTATAAAAGTACAAAATACAAAATTAAAAATTATTAAAAAAATTAAAAATTAGAAATTAATAAATAAAAAATAAAAATTTATATAAAAATTAAAAATTAATACATATAAAAAAATTTTAGTTAAAAAACTTAGCGCTGCTAATTTCATTAGCACATTGTTCAGCGTAGCAGCGCTAAGTTTTTTAACTAAAATTTTTTTATATGTATTAATTTTTAATTTTTATATAAATTTTTATTTTTTATTTATTAATTTCTAATTTTTAATTTTTTTAATAATTTTTAATTTTGTATTTTGTATTATCATTTTCTTTTTTTTTTTTAATTAAACTTTTCAGGATATATGTATATGATTATTGCAATGTATATGATTGTTCATATTTTCAATTCGATTTTTTATAATAGATATATTACAATTCATTTAATATCATTTTTCTTTTAATATTGAAAATTAAAAAGAAAAATGTCTATTTTATAGTAAAAATTTTTATTCAGTTGGCGCAACTTTTTAATATTATTTGTATGAAATTAAAACAATTATTTTTTACAATTTTTTTTAGTTAAATTATTTTAAGTTTTTATTTTTAATTAGCGTAATTTTTGGATATCATTATTTTTCTAGGATATAATGTAGAAAATTAAATCAGCTATTTTGTATAACTTTTTTTGGTTAAAGTATTTTTATTAGCTTTTATTTTCACTTAGCGCAACTTTTTTGATATCATTATTTTTGTAGGATATACAATACAGTAGTTTTTTACAGTTAATAATATACTATTTTGCAAATACATATACTGTTTTTTACGCGGACTTAGCACTTTTTTTACCTTTTTTTTAAAAGGGTAATTTTTTAGGGATTTAATTTACTGTGCTCTACTTTCTCACAAGTGCGTGAAATAGTGTTCAGGGATACCCTATATATACAGGGTATCCCATTTTAGATAATACACTCAAATATCTTCGAAACGATGTGTTAAATAAAAAAAATATTTCAAAGAAAAGTTGTATGGCTTGAAGATAGCCATCAGATGGTGGCAATGATTTGATCTCGGAGAATCATTTGAAGGTCACATGAAGGTGTTTTGGAAAGCTCTTGAGGCAAGCTATAAGAATAGTTAATAAAAAGTAGGAGATTCCGTTTAAAAAATTAAAGGTGACCTTCATGTGATTTTCAAACGACTATCCAAAGTCAAACTGATAAGATCAGTACATAGACCATTTCAAGCCCTATAACTTGACTATTTGAAACATTTTTTTGTACAACTCATATTTTTCGAAATCCGGTGTCCTTCCTGTTACATCCGGTATATTGATAATAAAATAAAATTATAGTCTTTCAAATTATAAGAATAATATTTAAATACAAAATAATATATGTTTTAGGGGAATTTATTTTACCAAAAGGCGTTGAAATTGTAGTGCCAATACTAAGTGTTCACCGAAATGAAAAGTATTGGCATAATCCATTGATATTTGATCCGGACAGATTTCTCCCTGAAAAAATAGGAACAGCTTACAACAATTATTACATGCCATTTTTTTTAGGACCCAGAAATTGTATCGGTAAGCATAAATGAATTACAAAACATATATTACACATAAAATTTATTTGTATATAACTGTCAAGTTTTTATAGGTATGAAATATGCGATGATTTTAATAAAAGTTGTCTTAGCTACTTTGATACGAACATTTATATTCAAAGTAGATAAACGCATTCAGATAGATGAAATTAAATTAAATATGGACGTAACATTATCTTCTGTTGAACCTATAGAAGTTAAAATTGAGAAACGAGAATTACGTTAAAAATATATAAAGTATATTGTTGTGCCGGGTGCGGCACGAGATGTGGGATATTGCCGGGATAACCTGTTAATCTATGTAGAGGCCTCAACACCTTCTTACTTTCTTCATTTCCCTTTTTTTTATCAAATCGTTTATTTCTACTAGATTTGTTATACAATTTGGTTAAGGTCTGAATATATCTTATTTCGTAATCCTTCTCAGGAGTATCGAGTTTCTTTCCGTCGCCTCTTCCTTCATTCCGTTAGATTTTAAGTGTTATAGTCGCGCTGAATAGTAACTAGCCCAGATTCACACTCTTTATCAATTTATTTTTAATTAACGACTGTCCGCCGCGGACTCGTGATGGACGGTTTTTAATATCTCGTCTTTAGGGGTATTTTGGAGAGGATCGCCTAGCGACATGACCATATATGGAAGAGTTTCGTGGCGGTCAAGTTCAAGTGCAAGCAAAGGAGGTTCAAAGTCGAATCCCTTCGTTGGCATTTTCGCATTTCCGGCGAACTCGCGCATGGTTCTGAGATAGCGGTTTTACGCGGTTTGCGAACATTCCATCGCATTTTAATTATATAAAATTTATTAATGGTAAAATAAAATAAAGTTATAGTCTTTCGGACTATAACAATATAAAATAAATAAATATGCAGATAACAAAACGAAAGTTATTATTAAATTAAAAATTGTTATTAAATTATCATGAAATAAATATGCACTAGTGTTCGCAATTATTATCATTAATTAATAGACGGGCAAAATTCGCGCGTGTGACGTCACGGATAGATTCCACTCGAGCAAGTCAAACGTGAGAATTTCCGCGTCATCGCGCGTCTATTACCCTTCGCGCGAAGTCACTGGCGCCTAATCATGGGCGGCCACGATAGCCGACCTTTCGCGAACCCAAATCAAACACACAAATCTTCTTAAAAAAAAAAAGGTTCAAATCACAAAAAAAAACACAAAAGGAAACAATCAAGCGGAAACACGTAAATTTCTCGAAAAATCTAAATCTTTCTCGAAGGATGTGTTGTATAAGAGAGTCACGCGAAGATCACCTGGCGGAACTTCAGTCGTATACACAAAGGCGATCACTACGTTACTTACAGATTAAAATCTTCCGTTGCTCACGATTCAATTGCTCACAGCAATATTCATTTGTAAATTAATAAAAATCTATAAATTAATGTAAATAGTGTATTGATCCGAATAGAATTGTGCTGTTTAAAATCAATAGAATTTATTTAAAAACCACAGACTTATTAAAGTCGCGACTCTTTTCGCTCGCGCTCGCCGTTTGCAATTTTTTAAGGTACTTTCACCACAATTAGTCGAAAGAAAATAGGGAATATTTTTTGAACCCTAAAAATTGGATTATTTTCAAACCGCTAAAACTCGTTGAAAAATCATTATAGACAAAAATTAAGAAAGCATTTTGAAGCTTGAAATTTCAACTTTAACGCGAAGTTGGTGATTTTTAACAATTTTATTATCTTCTTTATTCTGCGTTTTAAAAAAGAACATTGTTTTGTTCCTTAAGATCACATATTTTTGACACTTTGCAGTTGGATAAAAAAATTTTTTTCGAAAAATTCAACTCAAATTCAATAAACTACAACATTTTGCCTACAAAATGCTCTTTTTTTAATTTTCCTACGATTTTTATTGACCGAGCTACATAACTTCGAAACCAACATTCTTTTTATGTGAAATGACGTATACCGTCGACATTAGTGTTACCCAATGTGTGGAGGTGGAGGTTGCTGGTTGAATTTTGCACATCGTGTGTGTGTGTGTGTGTGTGTGTATGCGCGTGCGTGCGTGTGTACACGGACGCACGTGCATAGACATACACACACACACACACACACAGCGGAGAGGGCATTGGAATCATTAAATACTACGGGAGTGACGAACTGTGGGGTCCTTATCTCTATAGTGTAATACACACACACACACACACACACACACACACACAATGTGCAAAATCCGATCGGCAACCTCTACGGTTAGGGTTGCCTGACGTCCTCTAATGGGAAGGACAATCCTCCAATTTAGTAAAATTTTTTCTGTCCTCCCGAGGACACTATTTGTCCTCTAATTTTGACAAATATTTTCCTCTTTTTTTTTTCGTCGAGCGGTGCTATTTGAAAAGAAACTAGAGATCTCCCTGCTTTCTTTCTAGACGGTAGTTGGACGGTAGTTTAACTTGTAGTTGTAGGTAATCCGTGCATCCGTGGATGCTGATCAGAACTAGAAGGTTTCACTTTTTAGTGTCTCTATGTAAGAATAGTTTTGTCCGCAAGAAACGATTCTTCCAATTGACTATTGGACATCGTACATCGTACGTTAAACGGAGTGTGAATTTTTCATTACTTATAAACTATTAAATTATAATTATCTGCCTATTCGATTTCCTTTTTTGGGGGGGGGGGGGTTTAAAATTGTGTCCTCCATTCGGGATTTTCAAATCTGGCAACCCTATCTACGGTGCACATTGGATAGGCATATAGACACGTCCTTCTCCTATATACATTCCTTTCTTTTCTGGAGGCTTACATGGCCCAATGGCCCTACTTAAGGTCCATCTGCCACTGTTATTATGGGGATATTATTTACTAGAGAGATCTTGAGAGATCTTGAGAGATCTTGAGTAGTTACTCTACAGCATTGTGCTCGTCGGTGCCGTTTACTCTCATAGATACATTTTATGCCTTCGGACATTGAATTTGTTGCTGGGCGCAAACGAGTGAAAGCTGGAGCCTTTCCCTCTCGTTTTTGTACATGTACTACGGAGAATCGAGAACATCCAAGAAAAAAACAAACATCCAGAAGCCTTATTGAGGATTCTGTTGGAAATAACAAGCAAGGAAAACAAATAAATCATTGTGATCATACATACGATGCATTGGATCAGCGAACGCCTTTATCAGTTATTAATACATAGAACGTGATGACGTACCCAAGGAAAAGATAAGGATCCTCTGTTCAACATCAATACGGTTGTGTGCAATCTTGCAAATCAGTAACTAAGGAAGAAATATAGGATTCTGTTGGAAATAACAACAATTGTATTGAGAAGCAAAAGAAAATAATAGAAAAAATATGCAGAGAAAATGATATATTGAGCTCAGCTATTTCTCTGCTTCAAAACATATTGCAAAATGAAAAAAATTGAAATAAAGTTAATAAATTAAAATTTAAAATATTATATATATTTAAATTGTAAATTATAAGTATTAACATTAATTGTAAATGTAATTTTATTTGTAAACATAATATCAATTATAAATGTAAAGAAAAAAATATATTTTCTTATTTAAATATTCCCGCGCACATGCGTAGATAAGATAGAGACGGCGGCGACGGCGATAGTTTACTGCGGCTGGGATAAGAGTCGAGATAACAGCTGAGACGAGCCAGTTATAATTGGAGAATCTTTTTAGTCATTGTAAAATTATATTCGCTATAGAAATTATAAACTTTAATTGTCGTTTCTTTGTTTACAGGTGAGAGTGCCTGTAAATTATGTAAATATAGTGTTAAGATAATTGGTATTAATAAAAGAACTTTGTTTACAGAGCAACACAATTGAGTTAGATGAATTAACTAACCCTTCAAGATAGGAAGGGTCTTATAAAACGACAATTAAAGTTTATAATTTCTATAGCGAATATAATTTTACAATGACTAAAAAGATTCTCCAATTATAACTGGCTCGTCTCAGCTGTTATCTCGACTCTTATCTCAGCCGCAGTAAACTATCGCCGTCGCCGCCGTCTCTATCTTATCTACGCATGTGCGCGGGAATATTTAAATAAGAAAATATATTTTCTTTACATAAATATTATCTTTATTTTCATAGGATTACATAGTACATTCACATAACGTATATTTAAGTAATCGATATATATTTCCGTAAAACAAATTGTCTTCTAAAAGTTATACAAAGTACAATAATGCAATAAAATACAATAAAATACAATGTACAATACAAAGTACAATAATGCAATAAAAGTACAATACAAAGTACAATAATGTAATAAAATACAATAAATGATATAACAAATAATAAAAATAATTTGCAAGTTTTTTATCAATAACTCATTTCAGATTTTATGCTTAGTTTTCATACTCAGACTTTGTATTTATTTTAAATAAACAAAAAATATCTTTTAAATAACGCGCATTATAATATTGATTAACATTAATAAACTAACTATAAAAAAACATCATACAGCACATAGTATCGCAGTTTCTCATTATTGATTGAGCAGTAGAAATTTTTTTTTGGATTGAAATTATCAGCCAGGAGTCTCGATCCCATGATTTTGCTACCAAAGGCAGACGTAGTGTTTTTGTTAACAATAGTGCTGCTTAGTTCTGAAGATAACTGACGCAACCTCATGCTACAATATCTCGAAATCAAAAGATTCTTAGTATTATGGCAAGTACTTATGTTGAAACTAATCAATTCTTTTTTTATGTGGTGTTCTAGTTTTGTTATTAATGATTGTTTTACATCCTTGACTTTATTCTTTATACCTTGCAAAATTAATTCTACACTTTTTAAAAGTTGAAATACTTCATCTGAGACTGAAATAAGAGCTCCCTCAAAAAATTCACAAACCTTTACAAAGCCACTTCTAGGAAGAGTTGGACCTGAATACATTAGTTTTGAAAAACAATCAGTACATTTTATTCGCTACTTAAGTTTTAATACGACATAGCCACACATTTTGTATAAAATTTCTTCTTCGTTTGTTAACGATTCAATTTCATTCAATGAAGGAAATGTAATTGATGGTAAAGTAATTACTTTTTTTAATTTTGTATTTCTTGAAATAAGATCAATTAGTGTTGAAGATCCATCATAGTTGTAGCTAAAGTTATTTATTGATACAGCCTTAAGATATGGCCAGTTGTTTCAAGCGATTTTTACAGTCTAGAGCAGAAGGTTTCGGCCTTTGTATACGAATGTTTGAAAATTCATTTTCAATGCAGTCTTG